GAGAGAGAGAGAGAGAGAGAGAGAGAGAGAGAGAGAGAGAGAGAGAGAGAGAGAGAGAGAGAGGGTGCTTTTTGCCAGGTCGCGTCAACCTCCCCATGTTGTTTTTAGGCTGTGTGAGCATCTTCCCATATAATGCTGCTGTGTGTGTGTGTTTTTCTTTTTTTTTTGTGCGTGTGTGTGTGTGTGCAACCTCCCTATAATTGGGCTGAATATGAACGAAACTCTCCACCTTTTCACACACAATGCGTCTTTGTGTGTGTGTGTGTGTGTGTGTGTGTGGGAGAGAGAGAGAGAGAGAGAGATCCCGCCATTCAATGTTTTTTTTTATTTTTCTTGTGGAAGGGTGACGACCTTCACGTATCATCATGGGACTGGTCGGCCCCATATAATTCAGGTATTCATAACCAATTCCATCTGGATTGGTGTACGGACTGAGGGCGTACTGACTAGAACTTTTTACTTATTTATGGACACTTACTGTCATAAATGCGGTCAGATACATTAAATATAGAGCTAGCATGAGTCCTCCCCGAGATAGGCCTGTTAGTTCCGTCCCAATTTGGCCAACCCCTATCAACGGGCTTGGCTAGGTCGGTACTCTTGTGAACTGCTGAAATACAGACCGGGGCTTGAATCTAGATGCAATCAGATGAAGAGAGTAAAATAATTCTGGGAACTTTTTCACTTACTTCTGGACGTGATTGTGGTCTTTTTTGTTTTCTTTTTTCCTTTTTTTGACAAATGATCCCAAGCCCCTTCTATTCTGGCAAGCATGAGTACACAGAGAAAGAAAGCGAAAGAACAATATTGAGGAAGAATTTGCCCAACCCTCGCAGTACGAGTCACCTACTCATGGGGGGGGCTGTTGCAATCCGCCCCCCCCACAAAACCATTGCTTTCCTAGTGAGCTTCTGCTGGCCAGGAAGCTTACCGGCAGCACCCAGTCACGCAGCGGCAGGACTTTAGGAAAGGCGTGGTGTGGGGAGGGTCGTTCTAGCAGCCTCGCAAAGCGTGCACCCTTTCTTCGTTTCAATGAAGCAGTCCAAAAATCCAAAACCACCAACATCTGCTAGGCCTTTCGTTTTTCACCTACTTGGTTGCGCTCTTCAATCCTCTTAAAACTTGTCTATTCCTTTCCTTAGTTCTGTTCCTCTTTCTACTCCTCCCTCCCTGACGATCTGTAGTCCCCTTATCACATCCTTTTCCCTCTTGAAGAAACTATCCCCTGCAAGTTCCCCAGCTTCTGTCCTCTATATTTTCTTTTAAAGCTTTACTCCCTTGGTCCTTTACCCATGCTATTCCCCCCCTTCCCTCTCCATCCCGTGATCATGATAATTCATGGCCCGTGCTATTTAGCACAGGACCACCCTAACTACTTTACAGCTATTCTCCCTATAACCGACCTACCTCCTACAGAACCATTCTATATATTTTACAACTATTCTGCACCTATCGCTTCCGACCATGGAATGTGGAGTAACACACCATTTCTATTCTGGTCCTTTCCTGGGCGGGGCACGTGACGCAGCAGAACGGGGCCAAACTGTTGCTGGCCTGTGTCAGGATCGTGAGTCAGCAGCTGCGGGTACCGATCCCATCTTTTTCCAGAATTCCTCCACCTTCACATACCCCCCATACCTACATCGTCAGAAGTCTGCCTGCAGGGCAATCCTCAGATTCTCCATCGCTCTTTCCTGTTATGCCTGCAGTGAAGGTGCTGCTCCCTGTCTGCAGCGGTTATTTCGCAATGTCCATACAGCCCACAGCACCGCTGGCCGGATCATTTCTGCAGACAGCAGGTCTCCAAAGGCTGGCCTGTTGAATCTCATTAGCGCCCCCAATAGGATAGCTGCATCATCCCTTTCAGTGACGTCCAACGGCGTCTTATCTGTGACTTCCCGTCCCCACCATGTCCAGAAAGCCCGAAGTTGCTGGCATCGCACAAACAGGTGAGGAATTGCCTCCATGAGGCCACATTCTGGTACACATAGCTGATCCTGGTGCTGACGCTTAGTGGCTAACCACTGTGCTGTCGGGATTGCCAGATGGTAAATGTGCCACAACAGTCCTGCCTCTGTCTGGTCTAGCAGAGCTTGTAATATAGCACACTGCTCGTTCCATCTTCACTGAACGACCGAGGTAAGCATCGGGAAGCCAGTTCCTGTTGGCCCACCTGATTGGTTCCATCACCGAATTGTAAATGTTTTTTGTGGTCACTTCTTGCAGCGGCGCTGTTGTACCGAATACCCTTACAAGGGTATTTGGCATACTTTTTGCAGGTCACGCACGATGTTGCTTTGTTTGCATTCAACAGCATCCTGTGTGGCCGGGGGGCGGTGTTGGCATGCGGTTTGTGCAATCGGATCTGGAAGGACCCGACACAAGAGTAAGGCATGTACAGAGATTACTGGGTAGGAATTTAGTGTGGGCGGCGGACCGTGCATGCATGGGGGGAAAGTTGAGTTTTTTTGCCTTCGCGGGTGACACACGTGGTGTCTGAGGCTTAAGTGTAACCCCTTGTGGCTTTGGTGTGCTCGACGGCAAGGACCAGAGGCAGCATACCCTTAGCGCAGTTGGCAGAATACTAGAGGTTCCTCTCTCTCCTCATCGCTGTTATTTCCTTTTTGTTTCTATCTATTTTTATTTTATTATTTATCAAGTCCCGTTTTCTCGGTGGGGATCCGATACTGGGTTTGGGACTGACGAAGGAACCAACTGGCTATAGAACCAATAGGCTTAGCTTGGTCAGTACATCCTCTAACTGTTAAAAAGCAGGCTTGTGCCAAGTGGCCTATCTCAATTGGTACGGTTCCAATCCCTCGACTGCCGTTATGGGCTTTGGGGTCGATGGGAACAACCCTTCCCTTTCATTCCTCTGCACGGAACCAGGTGGTGCTGGTTCCACAGCCTGGCTCATACTGGTGCAGAACCAGGTGGTGCTGGTTCCACAGCGTGGCTGATACCGAGGAGCCTTGCTTAGCTGGCACACCTATGAACTGTTGAAATATAGGTCTGAGTTCGTACTCCGTTGGAAGCAGATGAGTAAAATACTGCTATTCTGAATTTCCCAGGGCAGGCCAGCCCACGGTGGTATCTCTGGGCCATGGCCCCAACACTGTCCTTCGGGACATCTGTTAAAATTGGAACGATATAGAGGAGATGTTAGGGCCCCTGCGTTTGGTTCCGCACCCGACCATGGAACCAGTGGGCCTAGCTCAGTCGGTACTCCTCTAAACTGTTGAAGTGCAGACCTGAGTTCGAACCCCACAGAAGTTAGGCGAGTGAGATCAGTGGGAGCTTTATGACAAAAGTGGAATACCGATACTTTTAATCAGGGTTGTTTTGGCGCCCACTGCCTACCCCTACCGTAGGCGGTAGGCGCGCCGACCAGTCCGGCTGACCCGTAGGCGGACCCGTCGGCGGTCGGTAGACTGCCTAAATTTTTTTATTTTATTTTTCGGATGACGTGGTCGTGTGTGGCTTGAGGAGGGCAGCCCGAACCGCAATAATCTTTTTGGGGGGTGGTGGGTTTATAGGGGGAGGTATAGGGGGGTTATAAGGGGTAAAGGAGGGGGTATGAGGATGTTAGGGGGCTGTCTCTTATACACATCTAGATGTGTATAAG